TGCACTCATTGATTTTCACAGATTATTGATCAACCTTTCTGGAGACCAATGAGTGTATGTGAGCACGGGTGAGCGTTGGAAAACACGTTTGAAGTGTGATATCAACAATCTGTATGATCAGCTATGTTCCAGTTGCGAGGTAGGGGACTTGAAGAGTAGTCAACTCGTAAAATGACAACCTCTTGTTTACCAATATCGAAAACCAATGGTCATCAGAAGTGGGTATATTGAAAAATAGTAGTTGAACGTTTTCTGTAAGCAACGGGGGTATGATACGGAACTCTCTTTTACAGTCTGTGGAAATAAATAGGGGCAATCGTCTCTTGCTTAAAAGCACCGACAAAATCCTTTGAAACTCTTTCGACTAAGACAAGCACTTGGACTCCTTCTTCGGCCTCTCATTAAAAAGCACCAGAACGGACTAAGAACGACCACAACTGAAGAATATTTTCGAAAGTATCACATCACAAGAAGTAAAAAAAAATGGTCAATATTTCCATTTTCTTTCTTCTCAACCCTACCAATTCATTTTATCTTCAGTAATTTGTTTCCGCTCCCCTCTTCTTCTACTGGTTATTCGCCACCCCACCAATTATTGACCCTTGTATGAATGACCAGTGTCCACTACCTTTCCCTGTTACTACCAACACTGAATTCAACCTTCAGCCTTGCAGCTACTAAAGTTAAACTAAAGTGCATTCCATTCTTTCTGTCTTCCTTCCACCTGAGACCAAACAAACACACGTAATGGTCAGTTTGAACTACACACTGACCAATTGGTATTCAGTGGTCAGTGGAAAATTCTTAGTCTATAAAGCGACACCAGTTCTTCATTTACTAACTGAGACTAATCAAGTAATTTAATCCGAAACTTTTGCTGGCATTTATTTCTTAAAATTCAATTTACGTTGTGCACGAAGTGTTGGGTTAACTTATTTCCAATGTTTGAGGACCTTGAGCCAAAAACTTAACTAAAGTTCGTGTAAAATTTTTGGGAAAAACTTTGTTAAAAATCTCCGCCTCATTCCAGGTGACATATTAAAAGGAATAAGAAATATAAAAAAAAGAAAAGAATTGGAAAAAAAAACTTTACTTGTCTTTAAATGAGTTACCTCTACTAATTTTCGATTTAAAATTAATTTTATAAATGAAAAATCTTTCTTGACGCTTTCATTTTAGCTTTAATTAAAAGCTAATGGATTAAATTTACTATTTCCAGTAAGTTGGTGTATTTCAAACAGAAATTATATTGATTGGCATAGATTTTTCTTTATTTTTTCTAAAATAGTTGATCGGCAACTTTTTTTACTCGTCTTAGTACCCTTTCATCGCAGTGTAACTATTTTATTTAAAAATCTTCCAAAAATATAATATACTTCTCTGAAACTTTATTTGAGGAATATTAGCTGATTTAAATTATTATTAATCTGATTTAAAAAAAACATTTACTAATTTAAAATAACAGAGAAATGAATTTTAATATCAAACAGTAGCGGTGATTACGTACTTGTCGTCGCTCAGCAATCAAGTAAAAAGTGCTGATAAAGGTGTTAACAGTTTTATTGTTGTTTTACGAAGACTTTATCTGTTAAAAATATATTTTAAGAAAATGACGATTGATCCCCTTTTTATATATTTCAAAAATAGGCTCATTACATAATATTTTATATACATGAAAAATCTTGGTGCAAAATGATTTTTATTAAGCTTTTCAATTGCTGATTAGTAAAAAAAGTTTTCATTCAATAACAATATCACCTAAGCGGATGAAAGTAAGGCAGAATGTTAAAAGATTTATATGTTCTAAATTATCTTAATTAAAATTGAAAAGGAAATAAAAACAATTCTTGTAAATGCCCATTATTCCTCCAATGTTTTTTTTTCTTAAGACAAGTGTCCTTAATAAATCTTATTTAGAAAAGCAATTAAAAAAGTTTCTACTGAAATAACGTCATTGTTTTATTGCATCTTTTAATTTACGACTTGGAGCAGATTTTCAGCAAATGATTAATTGTTTGAAAAGAAAAATTGATGATTTATATTCTCCAAGGAGTTCTACTTTCAACTAATATAAGAAATTTTCAGATGAAAATTTAATTTTCGTAATTTCATGAAATTAAGTGGGGAGTAATATATATTTTTCATCAATAAGTCCTGAAAGTTTCATTAAAATCCGACCATTATTAGATTTTTGCAAGAATTTCCAAATCAGTGTGTTTTTCAACTGAAAACAGGCGCTAAGACACTAATCGTAAATATTACGTCGACCGCTAACGCAAAAAAAAAGAAAAAAGGATAAAGATTTTTAACTACAATTTTGAACACGCTAGAAAGGATTAAAAGAATTAATAAAATATTTAAAAAAATAACTTGGGTCTTTCTTAATAATAACATAAACATTTTGACGATAAAACTTTGTTTTTATTAAGCTTTATTAAGCTATAGGTTGCAGATATAGAACAAAGTTTAGTTTAATTTGAAAAGAAAAAAAGTTCAAGTGGATGTTCCATAAGTACTGTGGAAATAGGGATGAAGGTGAAAGAACTTATGAAGTCCATGTGCCCTGGAAACACATATAAAGCTTCAGCAAACTGTTGTTTTCTTTTTATAAAGAGGTTTGATATATCTATTGGTAGATCATCCATAGCCCAACGTTTCTCTGATGACTACGAAGATAAGCTTTTGAATTTTCAGCGTTTTGTTATTCAGCTAAGAAAAAAGGTACAACTATTCTTTAGGTTGTATGGGAATTGCTGACCAAACACACAAGAATTTTGATGTGCCTTGTTTTTAAACTCTCGAATTCAAAGGGGTGAAATCTGTTCCAATAAAAACAACTGGAAATAAAAAGAAAAGGTTCACAGTCACGCTTGGTGCATATGGTGATGATAAAAAGATGCCCCTTTACGTAATTTTTAAACGGAAAACTCTGCCAAAAAACGTTGAGTGCCCAGCGGGTATGATAGTAAAATGTCAACAAGTATGTATTTATTATTATAAATCAATAACGAAAAAAATATTTTTGCTTAAATCTATTTCTAATACGCGTGGTGATTTGGACGACGCGAACGGAGAAAGTCTTGCGAGGCAATCGATTTTCTCATCAGGATCTGATCCGATTCTTTGACTATCAGCTCAAAATGAAGATTAGAACTAATAGAAAACGCTTGCATTCGACAGTCTTTAGCGAAAGTTGGGTGAAAGAGGCGAGCTTGGTTCGTTTGAACGGAGCTAGCCTTGATTTTCTCTTTTAGGTCAACCTATGTCACATCGGGGTGGTTTCCTGCGGAGCCCTCCCATTGGTTAGGTTAGACAAGCTTTAGTGTACCTAGTTAATGTGAGTAAGTGTTGTTCCTGGCCTGTTCCCGGCTGCCTCTTTGGTTATGATTCGAGATTCCCAACCTCTCCAGTTTGTTTTGGGAGGAGCTGTTTTCGCTGGTTCCAAAACTTCATGAATTTAAGCGTTCTACTAGGCTGGCATCTCGTTCACACCATTTCAGTGTCGAAACTGTTAAATGTAGCCGTCTCTTCTACTTCAATGGCTTCTTGTCTCACACCACTCGCCTGTGGAACTCCCTCGCATCTTCCTGTTTTCCTGATAGCTATAATCTCCAACTATTGACATCAAATTTAATGTCAATCGACGTCTTCAGATGCCCTGATCTATCCCTTATCCTTCTCTTCATCCTTTCCCTCTATCACTCCTCTTTGCTCTAGCTCCAACTCTCTGTAACCCCTTGCGTGCTAGTGGCTTCTTGGGCTGAAACGCTTATATATATATATATATATATATATGTGTGTGTGTGTGTGTGTGTGTGTGTGTGTGTGTGTGTGTGTGTGTGTGCACAACAGTGTGAAAATATCTGATATAAAAATAACTTAATCCTTATCAATCTAATTATCCAGTCCGACTACGTCTGTTCGTCGAATTATTTATTTTATTTCATTTCCTATTACTTCTTGTATGGCCCTTTCATCGACTACTTCTTTCTGTCTTACCAAACACCAACTGCAACCTGGCAAATACATTCGACTAACACAAGCACTTAGAAGACTTTCTCTGTCTTTCAGCCAAAGAGCACCAGAAAGTACCAAGAATGATCACAACTTTCGATTAATTTCCTAAATAATATCACAAGCAAAAAAAATGGTCAATGTTTCCAGTTTCTTTCTTCTCAATCCTACCAATTCATTTCATCTTCAGTAATTTGTTTCCGCTTCCCTCCTCTTCTACTGGTCATTCTCGCTTTCGCCACCCCACCAATTATTGACCCTTGTATGAATGACCAGTGTCCACTATCTTTCCCTGTTACTACCAACACCGAATTCAACCTTCAACCTTGCAGCTACTAAAGTTGAACTAAAGTACATTCCATTCTTTCTTTCTTCCTCCCACCCAAAACCAAACAAACACACGTAATGGTCAGTTTGAACTACATGCTGACCAATCGGTATTGGTGGTCAGTGAAAATTCTTAGTCTGTTAAGCGACACCAGTTCCTCATTTACTAACCGATACTAAGAGACTAAAACTACTAATCAAGTACTTTTGACGACTTTTATTTATCAAAGTTCAATTTACTTTGTCTTCAACGCTTGGATGGCGGGGGTTTGGATTTGTTTCAAGCTTTTGCGATCTTTGTGGAAAACCTAAATGGCTTTTTAATATACTAGAAGATTTTGGCAACCCGCTGTCTCGTGTTGAAAACCTCTCCCAATTGTTTTTCTATTTATAGTTCTACTACCGTGCATTATATTTTACCAGAATTAAATATATATAAAAACTCAAAGAAAAGATATTAAAAAAAAAATTGCATTTTTATTAAATAAGTAGTTGTTATTTTAATAATTCTTATTTTTAAGACAATGGAAGCATTTTGTATATTAAATAATAAAACGAATGAAAATCTATCGAACTAAGGTTCGCACCCGAGTAAAAACAACTGTAATTTGTACCCCCTTATCTGTTTGCAGTTCTCCTCAAAATTTGGTTTCATTTTGTCAATGTATGGCTATTTTAGTGGGAGACGGACGAGCAAACGGAAGTCTCAAAATTTGCTTAATAGATAGATAGATACATAGACAGACAGACAGACATATAATCAACTGAGATAGATAGATAGATAGATAGATAGATAGATAGAGAGAGAGAGAGAGAGAGATAGATAGATAGATAGATAGATAGATAATCAACTGAGATAGATAGATAGATAGAGAGAGAGAGAGAGAGAGAGAGAGAGATAGACAGACAGACAGACAGACAGAAAGATAATCAACAGAGATAGATAGATAGATAGATAGATAGATAGATAGATAGACAGATAGATAGATAGATAGATAGATAATCAACAGATTTAGATAGATAGATAGATAGATAGATAGATAGATAGATAGATAGATAGATAGATAGATATTGCACTGGCATAGATAGATAAACAGACAAATAATCAACAGAGATAGATAGATAGATAGATAGATAGATAGATAGATAGATAGATAGATAGATAGATAGATAGATAGATAGATATTGCACTGGCATAGATAGATAAACAGACAGACAGATAATCAACAGAGATAGATAGATAGATAGATAGATAGATATGATTGCACTGAGATAGATAGATGTCGTTTGTGATAGTATATATATATATATATATATATATATATATATATATATATATATATATATATACCAAGCTAGATGACAAAGAAAGATTGATAAATTATGATATATGCTATTTAAAAAGCGCTTAATTCCTGTTTGAATAGAATCACAACAGAGAGAAATAAATAATCATTACTTGATAGTGCAAATTATACAAAATATATTTTTGATTATTTTAATTATAATAATAAGAAGTATTATTATAGTTGCTAGAATTTTATCGCAGTATATTCTGGAGAACCATGATGTAACTCTCTCAGCCAGAGAGAAAGAAACAATCGGTTTTAAAAACAAATAATATCAATTGTTTAGATGAAGCAACAAGTACAATATAAATATCTGAGAAATGTTATGACACGAGGCGAAAAGTGCGACATTGAATTCCAAAGACGCAGTGGGATAGCGAAAGATGCCTTCCAAAAGCTAAGCAAAGCATTAAGAAATAGGAAAATATCGTTAGAAACAAAGAAAAGAGGACTGATCCGTTATATGATATATGTGTAGTGAATGCTGGACAATCTCTTCGTCGAGAAACTTGAGGCAACAGAAATGCGGTTTTGCAGAATACCATGGTTCACGACATGTAAGCAACGACGAAGTTTTTGAGAAACTGGAAACAAAACGGACACTTATACTTAACATCAAAAAGTGACGGTTGAAATTTCTATGGCATAATGAGGACAGAGGGCTTGGAAAGTTTGACACTCAGAAGAAAGATCGAAGAGAAGACGGGTAACAGTGAGCTTGAGTCAATGGATAACGGTCAAGGTTTAGAGGAGATAACAAAAAGACAAAATTTATTAAAAGCTACAAAGGACAGGAAATTGTGGAGGGCCATGATTGCCTACATTCTGAAGGGACACAGCACAAAGAAGAATAATATCATACATTTTTACTCTTTTTTTGTCTTATTTTTATTACTTATTTGCAGTAGTAGATATAGTACTTAATTATTTGAATTTATCAGTTGTATTGTCATTAGGAATTTTTCTGTTACTTTCATTTTTATATTAACCAACTTGCTTCTTTTTTACCGGGGTTTAGGTCGTATGTATATTCTTCGACCATTAACTAATCAGTGTTCAACAAAAACCGTAATTTCTCGAAAACAATACGCATTTTTACTGTAAATTACAGGTGATAGTAGGGGTGCGTATTATAAATAGGTTTAAACAAAAATATTTGTTTCGTTATTGATTTATAATAATAAATACGTACTTGTTGTTCTAAAATAAGAAAGATATTACCCCAATTTTCATTTTAAATCCAACAATAATAACTGTATTTTTGTCAATAAATTTATGTTTATCAGTAACCGTATTCTTTTATTTGGCAAAAAAACAAAAAAAAATCTATAAAAAGGCAAATTTCGAAGGAAAGAGACTATCAAGTTAACAATTTATTGAAATTTTAATTTTAATCATCATCATCACCATTTTCTATTATAGAATCAATATCTAAATTGTCATTAAACAAATTATCATTTACAATATTATCTTCCTCCTGTTCAAAATTATCTTCGGTCTCTTCATTCTCTTGTTAAAGGATGTCATCTTCCTGTCGTGAGACAACACTTCCGGAAACCTCTATTTATAACATCCTCCCTGAAGAAATCACCAAGATTCCTGAATCCATTTTACAAGAAGTTTCAACACTGTTTTTTTTTCCTGTTGCCACCAACAGTAAAATATTATTTTAGTCGCTTAGTCTCGATTTTATTCTTAATGTCAAGGTCAACAAAATGTCTTCGTAATTAATTTTTTTTTTTGACAAGATAGATATATTTCTTAATTTTTCGATCATTTTCTGGGGTGCGTATTATTTATGGATGCGTAT